AAAACCGGATTACATTTGGATCTTTTGAACGTAGTTTAATTTGTTGTGATAAACTTTTCTGGCTGTTAACAATGATCGCGTATTTGAGCGTAAAAAGTTGTAGCACTGTTAGGCGTAGATAAGTTAAGCGAGCAGTTCATAACTTAAGTTTTTTTTAGAATTACTGTTCCGCTATAAGCCTTCTCTAAAGCATCATAAACAGTTCTTTTCTTTGCTGTCACCTCAACTACTACTATCATATACAACTTAATAAAAGAAAATCCATCTCTGAAGGTTCTTCTGTAACCTGTCATCTCAACGGCTCCAAGTTATTATAACCTTTTTTATTTTCGGGTACGCAATAGTGGAGGAACTGATTTGCGGTAAAAGAATTTGAAAAAGGTGGAAAAATGTTTTTGGCGGAACGAAGCAATGAAGACATTGATGGAAGCAGTATTACATTAAGATTTATACCATCCGGTTTAGCTACGAAGCCTTTAAAGTGAAAGCGGAACGAGGCTTCAAAGATTGGAACTTTTCCAGCTGTTGAACTCTTCGCTTTGGCGGCATCTTTTTGAAATTTGCAAGTGGATGCCATTTTTATCATGAATGAATGATGAGGTTCAACTAAAATTATTAAAAGTTTGGAAGCAGATCTGTTTTACTTGTTGTTCTCCCAGAATAAAGTTGTGCACTTTTCGATTTACCATGAAACATGCAGTGCAATTTTGTGTGTTGTTACTAGCAAAAATTTTAGTATGAAAAAACCAATTTGCGAAAAAGGGGTTAGCTGCTCAGACTGGAAGGGCAATATTTTGCATGCAGCTATTTTTGTGCACGGATCTGAAAAATGCGAGGCTGTTCCAGTCAAGGTAACTGGTAGCTTTTTTATTATCTTTGGTATTTACAGACCTATGACAGAATTGGAAATTCCCGCACGGTCATTATGTTAAGCCGTAATTCTTTATTTTCATTCATTTCTTCTTCAGAGTTGCGGAGAAAAATCTGTGAAGAACGGACCACCGATAAAAAAGCGTGCTGTGGAAGCGGGAGTTGATCAAAAAATTCAGGAATTTTTAGAGCAGAACTACTTGGTTTCATTCGCCTATGATTACCTAAGGTTTTGGAACGGTCTAAAACATCTTCGCAAACAAGGAGATGATTTTTGCTGCAAGTTCCTCTTTTTCATTTACGGAACCACTATTTGTAACCGCTAGTTTCAAATATGAAAAGGAAATGGAGTTTTTAATTTTCTCTTAATTTTCCACTGTACTTAGGTCTTTTTATTGCCGTTTTGGTCACTTACTGGCTGGCTGATTTCAGCTGTATTTAAAAATGTGAAGAATTTGCAACTTGTTGGGCCTTTTGAAGTTCTAAACGAATTAACAGATGGCAAAGAAGCGCAGCACGAGAAGAAATACTATCTTACTGCCACTCGATTTGCAACTGACTTGCCTGAGATGCAAACTCTAGCTCTTTACGATGGAGGCCGATATGTCTATTGGAGGTGAAAGCTTCGTTTGTAATCAAAACTACACGCTGTTATTACTCGGTCTCAGGGTGATATGGCTGAAAAGAAAGTTTGTTAATTTTAGTTTCATTAGCAGCGGTGGTCATTTTCTTAAAAGATATTTACGGTAATAAGTGGTTCGTTGCATTTAGGGATACTCCAAGAAATAGTGACCCGTTCATAGTTAATGTTATCCATGACAGAGAGCACTACCCGAAAGCGGAAATTGTTGGTGATGCGGACCCCAGATGGATGTTAGTTCACGCATGCGGGAACAGTCCTCCGAAAGAATTGCCTTCATCAGACCAAAAAATGTGGGGAAGTAAGGTCTTAACGTTACTGGCTGCTGCTAGTCGCTGCATTTGCATCTTAAAGCAAAACAGTCTCTTTGTGTAAGGGTGTTGGGAATGGAAATCGAGGAAATAAAAAAAGTAAGAAAGGAAGAAACTTGGGTTTTAGGTTTTGCATAGCTTGAAACATCTTTGCAGAGGTATGTTTTCTCTAAATCTGGAGTTTTTATTTGAAGCGCCATCGTTTATAGATATACGAAAATCCTACCAAATGGAACTCAAAAAACTTGCGAAGGAGAGAAGCAAACACAGTTACGGTAAGGCATTTCATGGTTTAGGGATCTTCGTGAATGTAAGAGGCGATGTTGGTTACCGTCCTTTGGAAAACCCCCCTCCAGGTGTGGTTCCTGTATTTTTTAAAAACTTCTTTGGTTTTGTGTACATTTCAAGCATAGGTGCTAATTTGGTGAAGGTTATTGTCGCAGAGTTTCACTTTTGGTCAACCGTTGTGCACTTTGCATCCTTGAGGCGTTAGCGAATGAAGTTATCTTAAGTTGAAATAGTCGCTTTTTTGCGTCACTCTTTTCTAAGGAGTTTTACCGACTTTATCAGCATATTTTATCGAGAACTGGAGTTTTAAAAGAAGTTTACTGTTTGTTCTATAATCTTGATACTTTGTTTCCCACATCTGATAGTCTTTCCGACAAATAATGGAGTTGCAGTAGTTTTCTTTCATTACTGATGGGTACGAGCACGCGTAATCTGTGGATTGAAAGCGCAGATAGTATCTTGTCGTATTTCTTATATACGGTTGTTTTTAACCATAGAGACCTTGTTAGAACGGAATCTGTGGCGCATATTAGATTGCTTACAATCCACATTTCAACAACATTCTGTCAGATGATTTAGCCTTCCGTTGAAAACAAAGCGACCAGGATTTACGTAGTAATTTTTGAAATAGTTTTGCTTAAACTTTTAAAAACGTATATTCCAGGGCTATGAATAAAGTGCGGTATAATCAAAAAGTAAAAAATTTGGTTTCCAATTGTGCAGCTTCAGACTACAAAGTTGTTTTGGGATCGACGATCGTTACATGGTCGAGTTCAGCAGTAGAGCTGATGTCGGAATTGTTTTTTTAGAGGTTTGACGAGGGGGCTAGCTATAACTTTTTTTCTTAAATGGGAAAGCAGTTATACAGAAGACAGTGCTTTTGAATCGTTTGAACTGGAAAAAGTGTTAGTAATGAAAATAAGGTCTGCAGTAGAATTTTGATATTTTTAAGTGTGCAGTTGAAGGGCTTTCAAGACGTTTTGACCAATTGGTTTGTTGCGATTGATTCTTTTCATTGACGCTTATAGCAAATAACACACGTTTATGGATGCATCTTTCTATTTTATTCCTGGCTATATGATTTAGGAGTTTTTTTAGGGAAACTGAAAAAAATCATTACCGATTTTGCGAATTGTAAACAAGAGGGCTCAGAGAAAGACAAACTGAGGGAAGATATTATGAACTGCACAACATTTGTTGACGTAAGCTATAGTTTTATTCTCTTTTGTGTATGTGAGGCATGCTATCCTATTTTTCACATTCTTATATTATTTAGATTGCCAATGATGAGATGGATTACTCTTTGGGACTTGAAGTTGGTCATGATTTCTTCTGGGCTAATTATGCTGCACTTGATCGTCTTGCCGAAATAACACTCTGTAATTCATATACTCTACTGGAACGAGAGGAGTACAAAACGATTTTAACAGAACACATGAAAGTGAGGAGGGCCAAGCCGGAACTAAACTACTGAAGTCTTGTATTACTTTTTTTATTTATTTTTCCCTGGCAGGAGAACTGGCAGTAGTAATTATCAATTGGTGACGACTTAGTATTCGGGCTTTGTTCTTTGAGATCTCAATCGTGTAAAAGATTTTTGCTTGTTTTTTTTTTACTTCCTAATTTGGTACATGATGGGTATATTTGAAAATATTTCTATGAGCACTTTGAAGAAACTTTTGCTTTCAGCTTTCTTCGCTCTCATTGTCTTCTTAACTTTAGTTTTCTAAAACATTCCAAAAATAAAACTGTCCTATCTTGTTTCTGGTCAGTGTTAATGACTTGCTAATTGAATTTAATGTCTAATGGAGGTAATGGCAGTGCCTAACGTTGATTGAAATTTGCTATATGCCAAAATACAATGTCGTTTTAGCATAGTGTGCTATTGAAGGTAGCTGCATACTTAAAGATCTCTTCTTCAAGCACTTACGAAAAATAAGTGCGCATGTGTTACCTGCAGCAGTTGAAAAATAGAATTAAGAGACTGAGACTGTTTTACTAGGTTTCATTAATATACCTGACTTTCATGCCGTCGCTTATTTAGGCAAACTAAGTAGGACAAAAAACTCAACGCTGCCATGGAAAATAAAATGCGTTGTACTTTAGTATGTGAAATGGATGAGTTTTAATTCAGCTCGCTAAAGTGTTTGATTATTTGTTTGAATGGAGTCTGTGCCTTCATTCAATTTTAAAAACGCACTGAAGTACTTTTATCTCATTGCGAGATTGAAGCAAAATTCAAGTTGACGAAATATGCAAATGATCACGGGATATGTGTGAAGGTTGGTAAATTTTATGTGGGTGGGATTGCTGTATCGTTCTATCGAGTTGGGGTTTCTGAATAAAGCAGTTTTTGAGCGGTCGCAGGTTCCGCTCAAGTAGTGACCATTTGTTGCATTGAATAACTTGACATTTTGACATTTTAGTCTATGGCATTCTAATTGTTAAAAAAAATTAAATGTGAGAATAATGCGACGATTATTCATATGCACTTCCTAGCCTGACAAAAAGTTTTTTGCCGAAAAAGGAGATTTTGGTTTAAAGTCGTGATGAAGTGGCATTATAGTGAATGAGAATAGATACGTACTGATGTTTCAAAGTTCAGTCTAGTGTGTTGCTGAGTTTTTATCTTATGTTTGTTTTCATTTTTACAAATTAATAACTGGTTTTTGTAATTCAGTAAAGGAAAAAAATTTAATAAGGAAGTTAAGCAGAAATGGTCTATTTAGCACATTAGAATTGAACAGTTTACTGCATGGATGGTGAGAAGTGTAGAAAAAACTTGAGCGACATTGGCGGACACTACATTGTTTGCTCCTCTACAATGTTCGTGAAGAACTTGCACAAAGCATTACAGGTCTGCCAACTGATCGCACGTTGCTGAAACATGCTACTGTCAGATCGGACTCGCTAAAAAAATAACAACGTCTTTGCTCAGCAGTATAAGGAATCATGGCCTTATTTCAAGACCCAGTCTCTCATCACAGGAAACATTGTGCAAGTATCATTCCCAAGGCAGTCAAAAAGTTCAGAACTTGATTGAATTCCGCATTAATTGAACAGCTAGGAACCGTCTGATGGACCAGCCGGTTTAACGGCACATTCGGAAACCACCTTTTTGCTCACAGAGATTTGATGCAGAAAGAACCTTTATACCTTTACAGGCAAATAAAACACCACTTTTCCGGCAAAAACAAAACTCTGTAGTGGTACTTTTTGTTCACAAACTGTTCTTCTTATCTTTTTATTCTTTATTTTTCACTACTAATGTCATCTTTACTGGACTTTTGAAACCAGTAGTGCAGTACAAGTGCAGTTCTCTAACACCATTTCAAACCTGATGGTTTACATCTAACTAATGTTAAAAGTAAAGGTGAAGACCGGTAATTAAGCAGCACAACGAAAAATATGGTTTCAAAACCCGTTTATATTTTTCGGCTTCGAACTTCCAGATGCAAAAACAGAAACATCTGTGTTACGCTAAGCGAGCGCCAGATTCGACTTCTCGTGAGACAGTGAAGCTGAGAAAAACGGTAAAACTAGACCATTAGAAAGATGCAAATTTTTGAAACTCCAGTTGCTGGATTATAAATTTTCAAAAACCTACCGAGAAAAAGAAATAT